AAGTGGATTTTCTGACCAAGATGTGAAATATGAGTATTTCTTGCGATCGCATTATCTCCAGAAGATAACATCCGTTGGCGCTGAAACTTCTAGAATATTTTAAGAACCACGAAGCCTACATGTGGACAAAGTTTCCGCTCGAAATTTCTGTATCTTCAACAGGATATTGGTGTTGGATTTTGGGATTATCAAAATCCAAAAAATCCCAAAAATCCAAAAAAAATCCCAAAAAATCCCAAAAAATCCCAAAAATCCCAAAACATCCCAAAACATCCCAAAAATCCCCAAAAATCCCAAAAAATCCCCAAAATCCCAAATCCGCCGTTTCCCCCTTGTTGTGAACTTACATTATGTGAATAAATAACAACTCCCCACCTAGCCAAGTCAGAGAGATAGATTCATTATCTAATGTGGAATAGTCTCCAAGTGTTAGTTTCCGTTTTCCACGCAATATATACTATTTTGTGAAATTCAACGCGTGGATCACAATGGCAGTCAGGATTTATCCACATACACAACTGTTGACTAATCAGACTCATTTGAACTTCCAAAACAACACTGTAAGACACCACTAGGGAGGAGACTTAGATCCCCATACTATTGTCATGCTCGGTAGTTCGAGCTTCAGCATCGGCTGCCTCGTATCCTCCTGTACTTGCTCACATATCACAGTAAACTGGAGATACTCTAAATGCCTGTATTTCTATATGTCAATATCACTTCTACTGTATATGTAGAGAATTTAAATGTTTTTTTATATAAAACTCGTCAACAACTTCTTGAGAATACAACTTTATTAATGTAGCCATGTAGATGTAGGACATAAATGGTGATCAAGCAGTCCTGTGTCAATTTGAGCATAAAGGTTTCTTTAGTGAAACACGTGGCTGTAAAGTTGTTTTTACAGAGAAAACGCAGTGACGGATTTAGGAGTGCGCGGTGGGTGCAATCGTATTCCCCTAAACGGAAAATATTCATTTTCTCCTAGCAAAAACTTTTTTGGGCGCTGCAAACCCTTGAAAAAATTTTCTCCCCGCAGCGCAACTCCTAGCGTAGCCCCCTAGAAAATTTTCTGGATCCACCACTGAGAAAAAGTACAGTAAAACGCACTCTTGAAAATGGCTATCTATTGGGCAAGCTAGCTTATCTAGTAAGAAAGTTATAAGCTTAGAAACATATCTTACACGTAGCAACAATTTAACCTTTCGAAGAACTTTCATAACATTGTCATTTATCAGCAGTTCTAACTGTTGTTCAGACGGGATTATTCTCTTTCAAAGAAAGAACGACCACGAAACGGTGCCTCTTCAGTTAACGTGTTAAGCGTCTGAAATGAATCATACAACGACACCAAAATGATTCAGCAGTGCGAAGTGAGTCGTCGAACTGTGTTAGTACACTAGTTTCTTTTTACGTTCTGAAAAGTTAATGGCTAAATTGTTGTCATATGAATGAGATGTATCTAAGCTTATAAATTTCTAACTAGATAAGCTAGCGGGGTCAATCGATAGCCATTTTGAAGAGCGCGTTTTACTGCACTTTTTCTCTGTAAGAATAGCTTTACAGCCACGTGTTTCACTAAAGACACAGTTATCTTCAAATTGAGACAGGGTTTCATAGCCACCCTTTATAACCGAAAAAAATATGTTGGTCTCTCCAATGGGTATTTCGAATTCGTTCAGTCTCATCTTCTGATCGGTCTATAGTTCAGATCTCATACGACAAAACAAACTCAAACACACAAATATGCCACGTATATGATTTTGGAAAAAAAATATTTTCGAGAAAATATTATGAATTCTTCATATTCACAGTAGAAGTGATATTGAAATATAGAAATACAGACATTTAGAGTATTTACAGTTTACTCTGATATGTGAGCAACTACCGAAGAAAACGGAGCAGCCGATGCTGAAGCTTTAACTTCTGGGAATGAAAATAACATAGGAATTGAATTCTTTCAAGTGGCACTTGGCTGTATGTTTCAGAAGTTCAGACGGGTCAAACTCTTCAACAGCTGCATATGGGGATAAACCCTGCATATCATCATGATCTGCGCATTGAGCTCCACAAACTAATGTCTGTTTCAGAATTGAGTGTCGCGAGTATTTTTGAATAACTGAAATATAGAAAGAAGATAGAGACCTACGGTTTTCACCATTCGACAGAGCAACTTCTTACTGGGCAACAAAAACAAGTCTAGTTTAATTGGTAAACCAATTAGGAAATCAGATCAGCTCTTACTAAACATTTTTTGGAGAATAATTTAGAGGTGATTTCTATTCACTTTGGATTTACAATAAAACCACTTTATAGCGAAAATTGTTCTCTTTCGATCCGCGCAAGGCCGAACTTGCTAGCTTGTCCTCTTGACGAACTATAAGCATTTTCTCGAGAGTCTTGAAATCGATTACATGATCTTCAACCACCCTTGAATGGCCCGAGAAACGGGTAATCGGTGACGATGAGTTGAGTGCTAATCTTTATTGTTAGTTTTTATTCTGAAATCTTGATGTAGCGGCTTCAGGTTGCTTGGAAACTAAAAATAAAAATTAGCACTCAACTCCACCTGGCCGATCACCTCTTTCTCGGGCCATTCAAAGGTGGTTCGAGATCATATAATCGATTTCAAGGCTCTCGAGAAAATGCTTATAGTTCGTCAATAGGACAAGCTAGCAAGTTCGGCCTTGCGCGGATCGAAAGAAAACAATTTTCGCTATAAAGTGGTTTTATTGTAAATCCAAAATGAATAGAAATCACCTCTAAATTATTCTCCAAAAAATGTTTAGTAAGAGCTGATCTGATTTCCGAATTGGTTTACCAATTAAACTAGACTTGTTTTTGTTGCCCAGCAAGAAGTTGCTCTGTCAAGTGGTGAAAACCGTAGGTCTCTATCTTCTTTCTATATTTCAGTTATTCAAAAATGTTCGCGACACTTAATTCTGAAATGGACAACAGAGGTGTGACGATGCACCTAGAATGTTTGCCCAGAAAGTTTTAATTTGGCTTTGTTTGACCTGGTGTAGTTCCTTTGAGGATTTTAATAGTCTCACTGCCTAAGTAGACTCAGGGCGGCACTCCGGCAGACGGAAATTCACATTTCTGAATATGCTACGATAGCTATCACAGACAAGTCCACTACGTTATCTTACTTGACATTGACGTTAGAGAGTTGGGATGAAAGAATCATTATTTCAGATAAGGCGACCTTCCTAAATACTTTCATGCAATAGTTTTCAAAAGTTATATTGATTGCACTTACATGGTCTTCTTTTTGTCGTCTTTCGACTCGAGTTCAGAAGTCGTCAGTCGAGGTGACTCATGAACAAGAATATGTAAGATGAGTTCTTCGCAAGAGGGACGTTGCGTGGGCTCGTGGGACCATGATTTTTGGATGAGTGAGGCAAAGTCAGGTGGCACATCAACAGGAATATCTAGTCGTTGTTGCGCCATGACGCCTACACTGATAACCGCATCATCATTGTGTTCGTAGGGAATGCAGCGGGTGGCCAACTCCCAAAAGACAACACCCAGAGCATACACGTCACTAGCAGTTGTATGTTTCTCGCTAAACTTGAATAGCTCTGGCGCTGTCCACTGAAGTGTTCCAATTGTCAGTAATGCTGAACCGCCAGCAGCATTGGTTTGACGTACAGTTTCTTGACGGATTTTAGCTAAACCAAAATCGCCTACTTTGATGATAAAGCCTTTCAAACTTTGACCGACTAAGAAGTTAGGAGATTTGATGTCACGATGAATGATTGGATGGGGCGTTGACAGATGAAGGTAGTTAATGCCCTTGACCATTTGCAAGGCAATTGACCATCGCTCAGACCATGAAAGTGGATAAATATCCGACTTCTGAAGAAGACTGGCAAGCGAACCCAATGCCATATACTCGATAACAAGCGCATGGTAATTGGGTTCCATACATGCACCGAAAATGGTGATGATATTGTCGAAACGCATCTGATGCATCGTCGAAATTTCCTGAATAAAATTCTTTTTCGCTTCGTCAGACAGTTGGCCAACACGAATGACCTTGATGGCCACTTGATGATGTTGACTCAACCATTGTCCGCGATAGACATCGGCAAAACTGCCCTGCCCAACAAGTTCTTCTGGGATCAAATCGTGTAAAGGTATATGACGAAAACGAGTTCTCTCCTCGTTGATTGTCTGTGTAGTTGCTGGCCTGCGAGCTTCGATGGTTTGCTGTAGTTCAAACCGATATGAATCGACTCGTAACTTCAAGTCGGACAAATGTCCAACAAGATCAAGTTGATTTGTAGCCATCATAGTGACAATTTCGTTCAGATGAATTTCAATAGCGGCCAGATCGGATATTCGATCAGATTCATCCTTGTTACGATCAAAGAGTTGTTCAATATTGAGACCGAGCTGCAGATCGACGGCATAGCCTGATAACTCCAAATTTAACTTTGCAAATTCTTGATGGTGATCTTGATTGGCAAAGATATGTTTAAACCACGATGCATTAGCAAATTTGGTGATGAATTTTGTGCATCGACAAATGCATGCATCAAAGCAATCGAGCTGTGATCCAATGTTTTTATGAGCCAGATCCGCTTCTTGCAGTAATTCCAGGTGGTTGCCAATCGTTTCGATTCGTTCACCGAGCCGTTGGCATTGTTTCTTGTTCGCTTTCACTTGAATAAGAGTGTTGCGAAAGATCACAATGCTCTTAACAATACATTTGATGAGAGAGGTTGGATCCATCACTACCAAATGCTTCTGAAAAGAAAAGTTCCAGTAACAATCCACAACTAGAATTGACTTTCGCAATCTGGACAAGACGTGAAAATTTTCCTCGCTATTTTCAAAGAAATTCTATTTATCAGTCAATAGAGATCCAAGGGCTAGCTAATACTGGGTGAAGACTTACTACTAATGAATCATTTTTATTGATTTTTGAACGAACTTCGGTAGTTTATACATGTATAAGGCGTCATTTTGAAGCTCTTTTACCGATAAGACTCTCTGGTCTATTGTAAATCCTTTCAATAGAAGAGTTCAGGTCTTCTCTTATGTTCAAACGTACAAAATTTTTAGAGAAATTTATATTATGTCTCGTTAATTTCTGTAATTTTTCATTTAAAAAGATTTTCAGAAAAGCGAACACGATTTGGGGAATTTCGAAAGAAATTTTCAAAAGTTCTAAAAACTGTGAAATAATACTGGTCTCATTGTTTTAAGATTTTTAGCTCAAAACCGTGAAAACTAAACATATTTTCATGTAAATATAGTAATTAAAGTTCCAATTTTTCGACAATTCAATTCATTCAGAGGTCTTATATGACTTCCGATGCACCGTTCTTCTAAGGAGGTCGTCTTTTGTAAGGGATGAGAGCTAGGTTTACAAAGCTTCGAGTCAATTCTTTCATGGCTTTATAGTCTTCAATTTGTACGGCAACAGTGTACAACAGTGTGATTGGGCGATCACGAAAGAATTTTCTCTGTCGCACTACATAATAACCTTGCTTTTAATAAATGATTTTGTAGCGGCAGAAAAGCTGCACAAAATACACACGGTTTGAAAAAATCATGAATTTATTATACATGCATAAAATTCGAAAATACTCAACCACAATAGATCACGATGCAGTAAACAAACAACAAGAGCATGTAAAGTTGCTTATAAATATTATTTTTTACCCTAGATCGGTCCTTCTCGAAATTATGATTTCCTAGGTTAATCAAAACGGATATAGTTTACGGTTTGTTTTCAGCCAGTAAACGATGTAAATACGCACCGTAAACTGTCCATATTTGATCGTTTCATCGGACACAGAAATACGATCCATATTTTATCCGTAAACGTAAACGATCAACTATATGATCCTTTTATGAGACGTTACGCCTATTCAAAGCCATCCTTAAGACAGCCGTAAACGAGCAATATTTACACCGTTTTCGTATTGTAAATTATCTGAAACACACTGTAAATTAGTGAGGCATAGGCAAGCCTTACTCCCATGAAATAGTCACGTTCTGCAATCACTTTTAGTCGTGAAACACTATTTAATATTCTACTACATCGTATACGATCATTTGTGAAACAAAGCGATAAATCATCATGAATATTTGTTATATAAGAGACACTTGGTTTATTCAAATGTTTTTGATTATGTCAAAGTGTGAATATGTGGGTATATGGGTCTGAGTCTGGGTGATTTTTCTTCGTTCGTTGTTACAACCACCCACACACCCAAACCCAGACCCACATGCCCACACTCACATGCTGATCGAAATCTTTTTTTCGAAACTTCTGTTCTTTACTATGTTCTCAGAAGGTTTTCCCCCAACTCGTTTATGCATTCATATGAAGCTGGATGGTATTCATGCTCACTACACTGAAAAACATTCTATGCAGAACTATTTTTGCAATAAATTAGAAATGTTTTGTAAGGTTTAGGATTCGAATGCAAGACCCCTTGAAAATGATTGTGAACGGTCTAGGAAACGCTTTCAAAGTTCCGTACTGCGTCAGAAATCATCATTGGTTCCGTATTGAACTCTTACTTTCTTCAGAGCAGAGAGCATCGCTATTTTTTTTGCACTTCTAGGCTCCCACTGGCACATTGCTACGTTGTAAAAATCTTTTGCTCATGATTGTTTCTGCATTGCCAAGAACCCAGGAAGACAAGACTCGAAAAACCAACCCGATAAAGTTTTGTTATTACGCTATTTGAAACGTAAACTACCATAAAAATGTTGCTGGTACGAATTCGTTACCGCGTTAAAACGTGTTAAGAAACTACTTAAGCATGAACTTATTAAAAAAGAAAACTATTCTTTTAAATTAAACGTACGGGTATGGATATGTGAGTGTAGGTGTGATGTGTCAGTGTGAGTGTGTGATATGGATATCGATATAGTATTCTGTTGTCTCACATCCGTATCCACACCCTTCTGCAACTGCAACTCTAATCAATCGAATTTCAGATCCACGTCAAAATGTAGCTGAGACTTACCGTAACAACTTGAAAAGAGATAATGTTGTTGAAAATCTGGCTTCTTTCTTTTTGCGTGAAAGCTTTCCGAAAAGTATCTGAAAATGAAAGAAACTCTGAAGAAAAGAAATTTAGCTTTTTCGAAAAAAGTTAAAAACACAAAATGCACGTCCGTTACATTACGCAGCAACTTTTTATTCAACTGAATATTATTTAGAGCTCCCTAGCATGACAAATGATCGATAGAGATTTTAAATAAGAAGAGTAAAAACATGAAAAACCCGCTTCAAGCACACCAGTGTGTGAATATAGAGTTTCTTCTCTTTGTTTCACGCTTAACCGTACACTCCCATCTCAAATTGTAATAGAAACGCTGAAAGCATTAATCGAAAGAGGACAAAAACTTTTTTTACATGAGAACAGAGAAAAGTTGTTCCTTTAGCACGCTAACCCCAGTGTTCATGGGAAATATATAACTTCGAATAAAGAGAAAACAAATAATAAAACGTGATTCCATGAAGAAACATACCACATCGCTATAGTGTGACTATTGGGTTAAAATAAGTTTTCCTTGAAAGTCGTCTAGCTGAATAGCCATAATAAATAACTAGCAGATCCAAAATTTTATGCCTTAAGAGCACCTGTTTCATGTTTTATTTCTTATTTGTGAAATATGCGAACAACTACGAACATCGCCTCTGGAAAAGAGAATTCAAATCTGTTCTTGTCAATCGACAGTACTCATCAAGTTGCGTCAAACGTCTGGAAAAGATTATCTTCATGAAAAAGTTATACTGTTTTGTGTGAAATTTCAAAAATATTAAGATGGCAATGCTTTACGGACGAGTTCAACACTTACATTGTGGAATGCTTTCCTTTTTATAATCGGCGACTCTCTATGCGCTTGCCAGAAAGTATTCCTATTTATACTGTAAGTATGCAACTAAGTTGGAAAAAATCAAATATATGCTTTTCTTTTCTCTGTTCCTCTAAAAAAAATGAAAGCAGTCGTTCCACGGCAGTATTTTCTCTTTCCTTTATCTGGAAAATTTTGATATTATTATTAAAGAAAGAAAGTATAAGATCATAGAACGACAGCTTTTCATCATTTTATTTTCTTTCCTTCTCCATCGAGATAGTGAGGAAAAAAAGAAAAACAGAAATGTTTTTCAGTTTCTCTTGTTAGTTACTAGGGGTGACACTTTATCTTTATTTTATTTTGAAAAAGTAAAGCAAAGCATCTGACATTACTTTACCGAATAAAGTAACGTAAAATAAAATATGTCTAATTTACCCAAAAAGTAAAGTAAAGTAAGATAAAATGAAGTATCTCTAGTTTACTGGAAAGTTAAAGGGTAGTAAAATAAAGCATGTCATTGTTTATTATTGATTATTTAGTTTATCACCGCATATTAATGGTATTCCAACTTGTCATAATCAAAATTTATCAAAAATGAATTCCCTACTAAGTGACTGGAAAATAAATCAAACTAACATTCAAAAATCAGTATTCTTCATGCATTAATATTTGACAGCGTCTCTGCTTCCTTTGACACTGTTGACATATGCATCTAAGTATGGAACGTGATTAATATAAACAGGAACGTTGCAAAGGTACTTAAGAAGACATGAAATGCAAGAGGGTGTGGGTGTGGGTGTGGTGGGGGTATGGGTGTGGGTGTGGGTGTGGGTGTGGGTGTGGGTGTGGGTGTGGGTGTGGGAGTGGGGGTGGGTGTCGTAGCGGGTGTGGGGGTGTGC